AAATAAAATGAACTTGGCTAGACTGGCTTCCTTGTTGGTATAATTAAGAACAGAGGTTCATGTTTAGCCAGGAAGGCAAAACATGGGTGAGCATTCAAGCTGATGTAACAAGATAGTCCCATTTTCGGATGACCGGATATGAGTTATTAAATTAACTAGTTCACTTGGAGACGTTCTTGATCCAGTTTAAATATTATTTATGCATTCCGTCTGTAACGACATTTGTGCATGTTCTGCTTTTTTATTCCAGCCAGCGAATCCTCAATGTTTTCACTTGGTTACAGATCAAAGAGTAGTGTTTTCAGCTGGATCGATTTGAGTAGGGGGAGGATTAGCAGCTATCATTCAACCAATTAAAGGCCAATATGTTGAGCTGTGTCAACATTATTTGACGCAAAAATTGTATTGAGGAATGGATAGTTTTTTTCCGGCTAAACAAACGCATTACAGGGAATTATACACTCTGTCTTTTATTGTATTTTGAAATCATTATTCATAATGAGGCCCTCTCAACTTTAGATTCGAAAAGTCTGCATACGGTATTGAAGACAGGCTATCAAAACAGATTTGATTTATTCGCAAATTTACCATAAATAAAGCTGATAATGCTAAGAATATGACCGAATTTTCCATAACGCTTGATGCCAGTGTTGTATCGTATTTGATTAGAGCAACAATTACCTATTTAGAGAAGGAAAAATTACATTCAGACTCAATCATTTCTGGCCTCTGCTATTGCAGACAGTTTTAGAAGTTTTAAAGATATGCTTCTGTTATGCGTTAATAATACTATTTACTTTTAGCTTCGAGCTACTTCTAGCCAGAGTGTCTTGCTAGATAACTGTCTATACGCAATGTTTGCTGTGAATATATTGAGGTTTTTAGCGCAGTAAAAGTGGAGTAAAAGACAGAGTATATTGGTCGTTTACTTTGCATAAGCATTCATTCTGCATTCAGCTAAGATTTGCTCATTTCCAGAACTATTTAATACATTTAAGTAAGAGACTATATTTACGATGAATTGGGACGAAGGCTTGAAAAGGAATTGCCTTTTACTATCAAATTTCACTGAACTAGACAGTACTAAAATTTTGACCCCACCGAGGTCTTACCACAAATACCGGAGGGGTTGAAAGATCCTAATGTAATTGTGGCACAAGTAAACGCTAACTGATGAACGCATAGTTAACTGTCGATTCCACAGTGATGCATGCTTTACCTTGAAATTTATTTTGGCTGCACAGCTCATCATAACTCGTGTTTAGGGGACGGAGCGGTAACCTATGCACTAATGGATCCATACGCCAAAACTTTGTCTCCCGCTTGTGTTACTTAGATGAGCTATGAAAGCTCAAATCTGCGGTTCGATTTGGAGGAAAAGTGCTTTTCAACCGCACAGAGCAATAAATTTTAATACGAACTCAAGCTTTCTCAGCAATTATTTTAGGGTAGAGTATATTCAGCCCATTAGAATGCAATACTGACACAACAACAGCGTAAGCCTTCCAAAAGAAAAATCATTCCGAAGAAAAATTGGGTTTCGAGGAATCTCCTTCGAATCTCTTCACCCAACACTTCTACTCGAAATGGAAGTAATCCCAACAAAAATCATTCCAACAGTATATACAATGCGTATTTGAGTAGAGTTTTGAGACTACCAGTAAATCAGTAATATGAGATGTATTCACCATATTTCGTTTAAGGTGATGGAGGAGTGGTAGTAGAATTTTCAATAAAGCTGACGTTCTATTGAATTTAATATAGCCTTGCTTTCCCAAAAGGTCTTCTCATCCAGAGTGGACAGTAGTTTCGACCTGGCCTTGGTCTTATCAACATCACCAACGGGAGTCTCATATAACTGATTTACTGGTGATCTCGAAACTCTGCTTATCAACGAAAAATAGCAAATATAACTTTGCTTCATCGGCAATCCCACTTAAGAATGTGATATGGTAAAGTGTCTGGCCTTCCGTGAAAGTTACATCTGCCCCAAAGGCATTCGTGGCAATGCGGCCGAGTGGTTAACGTGTCGAGATTACGCGCGGACTGACATGGTTCGACTCCCGCTACGGGTGTTTATAAGGCCTAGGTGAAACCGAAACTGCAGTCCATTCTGGATGAGAACACCTTTTGGAAAAGCAAAGCTCTGTGCAATTCAATGGAAACGTCAGCTCAACTCATATCATTTTCATCAACTTAAACAGAAATATGGTGAATACATCTCATATAGCCGAATTCTTAGTCAATAATTAAATTCTCGGAAACGACTGATTCCATAAAAAAGGATTTTATAATGTTTTTATGAATTCTAAAATTAAGAGGCACATTTTGGAAGACTCACTTTTTCTATCAATGCAAAATGTGGGCGTGATAAACATAGTCTCAAAAACCGAATGCTTACGACAAAGACCAGGCCTCACAACCCAGGCTTTCCCCAGCTGAATCTCCCTTTAGTGTGGCCTGATACTCCATACTTCCATATGCATGGTAAAGCATTGGGGAGAGTTATCTTCCTTTGAATTCGCATACCACGAATTTTTCAGGCATAACCAGCCTTCAACCAAGATTACCACCCACTAGGGTAGTACTGCCTTTCCTTTTCGTTGTTTTTGCGGATGTTAATCCGGACTCCTTTTAGTCAGAGAGGAGAATAGTGCAAAAGGACTATTGCATAGGCTCTTTGTATTAATGAATTAGCAAGCTTGTAAAGGCTCTTGGAGGTGTGTTTCATACTCTTCTTATCGTTCACTATCATACAAATTTTAAAGGATTCTTACATATTCCTGGGACTGTATATTTGGATTTATTTGCCATAAATTTATCCAAATAATGGAAAACCATCGTTGCATATTATTGAGACCTAAATAACATTCTCAGATCACACATTTAAGAAAGCTTTCCATCAAGTCAGTATTAGCCATAATTCTCTGGCTTTTTGCATTGAGCGAGTTGGTATATTGTATTTACTTGTTAAAGTTTTGGTTATCATAACAAAAGTATGCTGTTCTTAGTCAAGGCGTCAATACAATGAGAATTGGAAGTTTACTCAATCGCAGTAAACTCAAAGTTAAGCATAGTTCAGCAGGTAATAGGCTCTATTATGCGTATGCACATTAAGTGCAACTGGTAGTTTAGCTAAAATGTTCTTCAAGATATTATCTTACAGAAATATATTAGATCTTAATCGATCGAACAGAACGCGAATCACAAAGAAATGAAGCCATAATCGATCTAAACTCTGATAAGTCAATGATTAAAATTCTCTACTGCAGATCATGTCTAGCAAGATCTTATAGTAGGTTTCTAACAGTGGCCATATGATCTGTCTTTCTTGTCTTACAAGAGATTCAAAGTATTCTTTTTTTTTTATTATGGTAGAATAATAGTGATACATTATCGGCTTACTACTGACATTGTGAAGGTTATTTTTCAATTTTCACTTTATAAGTAGATTTTTTAAAATATCACTATATATGCATTTGCCCTATTCCATTGAGGGTGATGGAGGATTGCGAATTTAATTTTCGTACAATGAAATGAGTAGGCCTCATGCTTCAATTGAATTTAGCATAGCTTTGCTTTCAAAACTTTATTCTCATCAAGTAAGAGTGGACTGTAGCATATAATCTCGACATGTGAATCGCTATACCACACTGCAACGCTGCACACCCAGGGTTCGAGTCCCGCTGGGGGTGCTGATAAGACTCAGGCGAGGTAGATTCTGCTGTTCACATCAGCCTAGATGAGAATGCCTTTTGGAAAGCAAGTGAAATTCAACAGAACCTTGATGTCCACTCATATAATTGTGGGAAAAATCAACATTCAGTCCTTTATCACTTTATGAGATAGAGGATGAATACAGCTCTTATACAAGATAAACTGATAGTAAATATCTGTTTCTTATGAATACTAGGAAACTCAGTTAGCTTGCCTAATTTATGTAGTCAGAACTAAATGAAAATTTCAAGCGCATTCATTTTATTCAGAATAGAGAAGATGGGTTACAGAAATTGGTTTCGAATCAATTCAGTCGATATGCAACAAATTTTCATGAATTCATTCATATGAGGAAAAACCGGGTGCCAAAGAATTCAGTAATGATTTAATGTGACATGACTTTCGATTTCGATGGGAATTTTAGTGAAAGGAATTCGTAAATTGGTCTCACCGGAAAGCGAAGGAAAATTGTAGGTTTCTGTCAAGAATTCCTATGAATTCGTTAACTTACTCGACGAGTAGAAGATAGAAAGTTGGTATTTGCTGGTAAGTTCTGATGTCGAGTCTATGTACGCTAAGAACCCTGTAGATGATGCCATACATGCCCTGCAATCCACACTAGATCAATATGCGGAGAGGTTATTGAGCACGAAGTTAAGTAAAGGGTCAATAATGATATTGACCAACCTGATGATGTGCTAAACATATTTTACCTTTAGTGGTCAACTGTACGAACAAACACGAGGTTTAGCTATGGGATCGTGTTTGTCACGAAATTTAGCAAATGATTACATGGCTCAATTTGAGGAAAGTTGAATTCGGGAGGCACTTTTATTTCCAAAATTCTTATTTCGATATATCGACGACTACTTTGCTATTTGGCAACATGAAAAAGAAAACCTGGAGAATTTCTTTGGTTTGATGAACAGGTTTGATGGAAAGACGAAATCCTCCATGGAGTTAGAAAAGGATGGTTATTTACCATTTCTTGATTATCTCGTTAGCAAAGAGAGAATCAGATTCGGTCGGGAGGTGTATAGGAAATCCACAAATGCAGGTTTCCTTTTGAATTTCTTATCCAACCACACTATGAGGTTAAAGTGGGAGTTATGAAGTCTATGATAATAAGGATCCTGCTTCTAGCAGATGCTCAACATCGGAACCAGGAACTGAGGAGACTAAGGAGGATTCTGGTTGAGGAGGGCTGGTTGACAAATATTTTAGAATACTGTCAAATAGATTGAAGGGAAATACATATTTGTGGCTAGGTAAAAAGATAGATTACTTCATCAGGATCCTTATGCTGCCAGCGTGTAATCTGTCGTAGAAGATAGGCGAATTATTGAGGAGGTGGGACATCAGGACCATTTATAAAAGAAAAATAACACTGTCTTCGGTATTGCCTTCTTTTCGATCAGGCCGTTACAAGATTTTGTGTTCATGCCGTTGGGCCTGTTTGGGAGAGACCTGTAGACACATACATAAGAGATTATCTGAACACAACACAGCCTCCAAAGGTATGCGGGTCCGAAAATCGGAATTAGCCAAACACTTGGCCCACACAGGACACCAGATAGATTGGTATAAGGCCAAATGCTTAGCTGGATATGGAGACTATACCAAACAGTAAGCGCAAGATTAAGGAGGCGATATAAAACAACAAAACAGCCAACACCCTGAATAGAAGGAATGAGTGCAGGAAGTTAAACGGAAACTACTTGTGGCTGTTGGATAGGTTTAGATAGGCAGGGGGGGACGAGAAGTACCACCGAACAGGCGGATTGATAAGGCTGGAATTTGGTTTTGACTCTCACATCACACTCATTTCAAGAGCAATATATTCACACAGCATGCGCGCAATGAAACACAATCACATGCGGTAACATTGCAGGATCAAAGGCATTCGCGTTTTGGGGCAGGATGCAGCTGTTCGGTTTCAATTGCACCCATTTTATGCTTCATGTGCAGCCACTTAACTTAGCTTTTGAGCAAACATAGAGGCAAAGCATAGGACATTTAACGAAAGCATAAGATGGATAAATGGATCAAATAGGAATAATAAAAGGAAGTAAGTTTGAAGCCGGCCACCTTTCTTGCCTTCGTGTTTTTGCTGAATTATCGTTA